AACCACAACAATGATGACAATGAGAACCAGTGACGCGACCACTGCTATCAGAATACCCAACACCGGGTTCACCACAATCTGATCGAAACTCCCTATTCATTGGTGTGTGAAATGCATTCAATATTAGACATCAATATTATATTAATATAAATCTGTTTGTTGTGAATAGTGGTTTAGTGCTATTAAAATAACGATCAACATAATCGTATGTATTTAGTATTCATGAAATACACAAGCTAAATCATAAGTGATGTAATTGTTTGAAATAAAATTTTAGAAAAATTAACTATGAGAAAAATGACATAATTTAATGTAATTTGAATATAATTAGATTATTCTATAAATAAAATAAATAAATATTCAAACATTTATTTAATTTTGATTAAAATCGGTAAACATAAATTTTGTGCATATGTGAGTGCATAAAATAAAATATTGAATAAAAAGTTTGTATAGTTTTAGTCTAGTTTTAAGTTCAGTATTACTACCGGTATTAAAGTGTGTAAAAACAACCACTAAATGGCTAATAATCAGAATGTGTTTAATAAATATGTACTCAAAGAGTGTGTAACAAGGACTATAAACAAAGTACCCGGGTACAAACAGCGCTGTATAAAATTAGTCCTAAAAAGTGTTTATTGTATTTAAAAAGGTTTAAATTTTAAAACTAATTTCAAAGTCCCAAAGACTTACCATTAGATATATGTTTCTCTGGGGGCGAGAGTGTGGCCGCACTCAGCGTTACCGTATGGCTCCTACCCTTGGTATTGGCGGCGTATAGGACCAGGGTGTACATTGTGCCCGGATGTAGACTGTTGACGGTGTAGGCCGGGTGGGTGTTTGAGCTGAGGTTGGCGTGTAGTTGTTGGGCGGCTGTGGTGTACACTTCGAGATAGAAGTGCTGGTGTAGACCCCCGTCGTCGCCGGGGGTGCAGTCGATCAACAAAGTGGTCATCGAGTGGTTAGTGACGGCACAGTTGCGCACCGGTTCCGGTTGGCCTGTTTGAGGGAAATACATCATTTATATCATTAGTTAAGTTGCCATTGATTTGTGAATTTAGAGGCAAAAGGGTTTGAATTTAAGTTTTGGAAAGTAATGAGACGTTAAACGTATGGCTTGTTTGTTGTAAATGAATGGATTCACAGTTAGATTGTTTGCAAAGTATAAGTAAATTATATTTTGTCAAAACTAAAAGTTAGGTTAAATAAAGTAAGGTACCGTACAATTATTGCCTAGAACAATGCATTATGTAAATAAATTCATTATTAGTATATATAACTAGTAATGTAATAGAAACTGTAAATCATAAATTAAGAAACATTTTATGAATATAAAATTTAATAGATTTAAATCATATTGGAAACAAAGTAGAGCGTTATTTTATACAAACTTAAAATTAAATTATTATTTAAAAGTAAAATTATTTCTGTACTGTAATATGTGATAATTTTAAGCTTGGAAACAAATTCACAGAATTGAAATGTTTTTATTTATTTCCGTCCTTTAGTTATAAATTATTTAGTCTTAAATGTTGCGAAAAAATACTAATATTATTTCATAACATATGATATAATATTTGTTAAAATCCATTAGATTTTTGTGTTTCAGAGACTATTTGGTTGTTGTTTTTAGTCGCATGAAAACCCGTTAAGAAAGCAATAAAATTGTAGTTAAAATCTAAGGGCTCGTCGAAAAAGTTTTTATATTTTATATTATTTTGTTTTACTTTGTTATGTATTTTATTATATGAGACTTTTTTGTTTATTGTTTTTTGTGTTTTGTAGCAAAAGAAAGTCAATGAACACAAAAAATACATATAACAGTAAACTGAAAATTCGGTGTATATTTTCTGTATCCTTGGTACATGAAATATATTTTTTCGTATATTTTTCTATACTTTGCAGTCAATTCTCACTTATTTTTCTAAAATTTTTTATGTGCTTTAAATTTAAGTTCAAATATTGATTTCCATTTGTATTGATATTTACTTTAGTTTTTCCGATTTGAAAGTTTTTGTGTGTGAGGGGTGGAGAGAGAGAGAGAGAGAGAGAGAGAGAGACTTTCATCCCGTGTAAAGCCTATGAATTCTGTTTATTCACTATAAAAAGTACACTATAAATAAATCTAATAAAACTTTCTATTATTAGCAGTTGATTACAAAGTGTTGACAATTTTGTCCATTAAATCCAGTTTGGATCTATTTTGGAAATCTATTTTATAATACGATTGTACTAAAGTTACAGTACATGAGTCCTAGACTTGTAAGTACAAATAGGTACAGTATATAAATGAATTATAATTTCATATAAATAAGAAATTTTGAATAGAGATTTTTGAATCAAATACTCAAATTCTCATCTCTGATTAATTCATATAAAATGAACACAACTTAATAAATATGATAAAAGAATCGTTTCCCATATTTTTGATATTCAATATGATATACTTAAATCATTATTATGCACATTATACACTGAATAATGAATTTATAATTTTATATTATTATAATTTACTAGCAATTTCAGAATAATTTTGAATAAAAGTATACTATACAATTTTAACAAAAAACAAAAATTATAAGTAAAATTTATTTCAAAAATTATAGCGTATACTCTATATTATAGCGTAAAACTCTGTTCACAATTTATAAACTATGTCACAAACATAACTTTTACATATAAATCCCTTTTCACTTCATTTCTAATCATCTGATATCATGTCTGACACCACAGAGAGTATCCATCGATGTATTCATACGGATATGCAATTCATGTGTAATATTAGCATTCATTGGGTCGTTGTCTCAATAGTGGTTCACAAGGTTTTAGAAAAGTTTATTGTCATATACTTTGTGATTGTATTCAACAATAAAATGAGAAACAAATATCCATTTGATGTTTAAAGACCAGGGAATGAGAGAGAGAGAGAGAGAGAGAGAGAGAGAGAGAGAGAGACTGAAATAAAACTCAAGAATATTCTTGTCTGATATTTTATACACATATCAAACAATTCTTTGGATACAAAAACAATGATATATAAGGAAATACAAAAACAAAAATCAAAAGACAAATATACAGTACAGAGTACTAGTAGTATGTACTGAAAGTGTGTATATACGAGAAAGTTAGGAAACTCTTGCACCAAAATAATAAAAACAAACAAAACTGAAAGTTTAGGAATAAATTTCAAATAAAAATGTTCAAGTCAACTCTGATTTTGTTATAATAAAACTAAAATAGATTGTGATTTCGCTAAGAAATATATTCGGGTGAGTTATATATATAAATAAAAATAGGCTTTCAATTCATTTTGTGAATTCGCAAACAAAACAATAAATAAAATCAAATAACAATACAATGGAAAAGACTCGAGAATTTAATTCAATATAAAAAGCAAAAGAGAATAATACATATAAAACGTGGAGAAAGCTATTAAATCAATCAAATATAGACACAAATAATATAATTATTTAAACAATACTATTCCACTAAAATAATATATGATAAAAATAGATAAATACTTTGATACACTGCAAATGTTTATAATTCAATTTATGTAGCAGCACAAGCTGTATTTTAAAATTACTAGTTATATTTTAAATATAAATTTAAGTAAACATTAATTTATCGGTTAACGCAATTAACAGACCAATTTTGATGATTAAATTTATATTATTTTATTAAAACGAGTACCGGAATAATTATTAATACTGTATATTGATTATTTTCTAGATATTAAAATATTTAAGTAATTAAGTAATATTAAATAATTTCAATTTGAAATCTTTTCCCTTTGTACTTTAATTAATGTTAATTTTACTAGTTTATAAATTATAATTATATCTAATTTACTAATAAAATCTCAGGTTTTACAAAAATATTAATAAATATAACCAAATATCCAGATCATTATCCTAAATATAACTTGATACTAAATAATGAACAAATAGAAACCATTAGTGAATAGAAATATAAAACAAAGATTAATAGCTTTAATAAGAATAATCGAAATCTACTGTAATATAAGTATTCAATGAATGAGTGCTTCAAAGCGTTTTTGGACACAAAACGCTTGATTTATAGCAAAACATTAAAAGTATTTTTATATAAAAGATAATATCGTGTTATTGAAGTATATATTCTGTATATACAGCGAAAGCATAACAAACAAAAGGTGTCTATTATTTATCAATGATATGATACACAGAATATATTTCATAGAGAATAACAATAAAAATTGTATTACATTTCAAACATAAACACAAAAACACTTTTGCAAACAATAACTATGACTTCCAATCGCCGCGATATCAATACAAACGATAATATTCCGGTCATTATGTTTATCGCCTTATTATGACTACTACTGAGAGCTACAGTCAAACCCTATTTAATATGCAATCGGTTTGCATACATCCACTAATACCTGTACTATAATTTACAAACAGAATATAAGAATTTAATTTACATAATTTTAATTTTAGTAATTATAAACTATGGATAATTATACAGAATATACTAACAGCATTACTTTTTTAAATAAATTAACTGTATAATATCTGTTTATAATTTCTGGGTATTCTGTAAACCTAACAGAAAGCTACTATTAATAGCAATTAGAAAGTTATAAAATAATTGAGCGAGCTATTAAGCTATAATAATTGTTAAAATAAATCAAGAAAATTGGTGATAACGTGTATATATATACAAACCAGCTGGCACAATGTTGAAAACACAGGGTTCCTGTTGTACGCCAATTGAGTTTTGTGCGGCGCATAGCAACTGGCCGTAACTGAACCGGGTCTTTGGCGTATAGGTAGCCACGCTTATGGTGTGGTTTGACGTAAAAGTCCGCAATTCCGTGATATCCGAGTCACTCGTATTGACAAACCATTTGAACTCGACTTTAGAGGTGGGCTCGGCGTCCACTTCGCACCTGATTCGCGCCCCCTCATTACGGCCCACACCGTACTGTCGCTTCTGACCCTCTTTACATACCGGTGCGACTGATGTAATGGCAATAAATGGAGTATTTTGTTATTAATTCAGTGTATCAAATACTTAAAAAGTAATAAATATTTTCGCTAAACTTTTATTTAATGTCAATTTTGTGATAATGTTATGTCATATTATGGTGGAGTATAAACGTTAATAGAAATAAAAATAACACTAAATGTACAAGTGTATTTATTTGATTTTATGATGAAATAATCATACTGTATTTAAAATTTATGATTATTTTGAGATATATTTTAGATTAGCGTTCATTGTATGGGGTGTTTAATAGTGTTATTCAAATAAACTAAAAAGCTTTTAGAAATGAAAACTCTTATCAGAATCTAATTTTGCTAAGAATTTGCGAAAAATCAATATTTTAAAACAAAAACATCGAAAAATATAAAAATAGTATTTCACTGTTTTTCTAGACTACTCGACAACTCGTATATAGAAATTACTCTTATATTACACTTATTAGCTAAGAATTTGCGAAAAATCAATATTTTAAAACAAAAACATCGAAAAATATAAAAATAGTATTTCACTGTTTTTCTAGACTACTCGACAACTCGTATATAGAAATTACTCTTATATTACACTTATTATTACGATTGGGTCTTAAGAAAAATGTTGAAAGTTTTTACTCCAAATCAATTCATACATCTCTTTATCGATTACTATTACTTGAGTTTTTATAGTTGAAACTCGAGTTCGGATGTGTGTGTGTGAGTGAGTGTGTGTGTGTATGAGAGAGAGAGAGAGAGAGAGAGAGAGAGAGAGAGAGACTTATGTAATAAAATGTTTGGTAACTGAAAAAAGTCAAAAACTCGAAAACTGAATGTCGGGTCAAATATAACATAAAAAATATTTTTAAGAGGAGAGAGAAAAAGATATAATAAATAAAAAGCAATAAAAGAGAAAAACATTAGGAGTGTGAGAGAGATCGAGGGGTAAACACAACTAAAAAAGGTCTCATAAATAGATAAATAAAAGTTTTTGCCCTAAAATTGAAATTAAATGCTTTGGAAACAATTTAATGACTCCATTGGAAATGTGCAAATAAATCAAATTTGTAAAAAGCATGTTATAATTATTTTTATATCATTCATTGATTAAGATCCGGGAAAATTATGTTTATATTTACTACAACCATGGTTAATTGTATAAAAACTTTTTATTTACAAATAAATGTATTATACTGTATCTTAAATACCAGTACCTAATCAGTATAACTCATTTAAGTTTTAATATCTTTTGTGTTAAAATAAAAAATATGAAAACTAGGGATAACTTACAGTTAATCTTGAGGTCAATGGAGTCGCTGATGGAATCGCCCTCATTGTTGAAAGCCATGCACTGATACCGTCCCCTATGGTGTCGCCTAACCTTCTGTAAGACCAGCGACTGATTGGTGATAATAACACCGGATGACGGAGTGGTCACCAGTGGCTTCCCATCGACCATCCATAAGACCTCTTTGATCCATGGGTTGGCTCTGATGTGACACTCGAGGTATATATCGCTTCCCTCTCTGATGGCATCCTTTTGTATGTTTGCGCCGAAGGATAGAGTGATTTGTGGCGGAACTGAACCATAAATATAACAATAAATACACATTCAATGCTTCAAATCTGCATACATTATATCAAATCCACAATTTCTATACAAAAAACTATTATAATCTAGTTTGAACCAATTAAGCTACACTGATACTATTGTCATTTTGTATTAAAAATTATTAATAATTATTCTCAATGTCTAAACTTATGTTAAAATTTCAATATTAATACAGAATATTCTGTTCTCTATACTGTACAGTACTATACAAATAAATAAAATGTATAATAAATAAACAATTGTGACATACAGTGGACATCGAGGGTACGACTGTCCTCGAGGGCGGTGTGAGGCATAGGTAGGTTGTCGGCCCTACAGGACAACTGTTTGCCGTTGTCGTCAACTGCGGGCACGAATGTGACGACAGAAAAGCTGGTGTTCCCGTCGTTGATGAGCGAATCCTTGGCTGTATGTATGCGATGTGTGCCCTTCCACCACGTGATCTGCGCCGGTGGTCGCGAACCGGTGGACCGGCACTGGAGTTCCGTTCGCATGCCGGCCACCAGTGGACGCTTTGGCGTTGCGATCAATACGTCCAACGGTTTCACTGTTTATAAAGAGTATTATAATTAGTTAAATGTTTATGAAATTTTAAACTTTTTTTTAACAATTTTCTTTAANGTGGACCGGCACTGGAGTTCCGTTCGCATGCCGGCCACCAGTGGACGCTTTGGCGTTGCGATCAATACGTCCAACGGTTTCACTGTTTATAAAGAGTATTATAATTAGTTAAATGTTTATGAAATTTTAAACTTTTTTTTAACAATTTTCTTTAAACCGATGTTTGAAAGACTCTGTTTTAGTTGAGTTACAATTGTATTGAAAATATGAGTAGGGTATGAAATTTTTATAAAAATAAATATACCAAAAAATCATTCTCACAAGTCACTATTCAATATGTTCAATATATTGTATTACATTGGTGCAAAAGTTCTTGCCTAAATTGTCATAGAACACAATGTTATAACAGGCGAGAACTTTTGCACCAATGTAATACTTTCATTGAAGTATGATTGTATTAAGCATGTACAGTATATTGCAATTGTTTGACTGTGCTTGATGGACTATAAACTTTATAAGTATAAAGTACAGGTCAAACTTACCCCTGATTTTCATTCCCTTTCCCTTCCCTTTCCCTTAATTTTTGCTTGAAGGGATTCCCTTTCCCTTCCCTTAAATTCCCTTAAAATTTAGGTATAAAATTACAATTGAAATGAGCATGTAATCTCACATTAATACATATGAAATGAAGTTTTTATTGAGTTTTATTACAATTAATACTATTGGTATTATTTAAACTCATTTTTACCACAATTAAAAATAATTTAATGCTTTCACTCCTAATGTTAATAAAATGATTGTTTTTATTATAGTTTTATAGCTCTTATTCACTATTAAATGATTCAAACTCACAGCATATTAAACAATTTAATACAGTATTTATGTGACATTTAAGGGAAATTAAGGGAATTTGGTATAAGGAAATCCCTTACATCCAAAAAGGGAATTCCTTACACCCAAAAAGGGAATCCCTTTCCTTTCCCGTATGTGATTTTTGATTCCCTTTCCCTTCCCAAACTTTGACCTGTAGTATAAAGTTACACTACTTTCCCTTTTCATTTTGAAACAAATACAATACTTTAATTTAAAGTTTGATTCTCTCTCTCTCTCTCTCTCTCTCTCTCTCTCTCGGATTAAACATAGCAACAAAACATTAACCCAATAGTAAGCAAGTTAAGATATTTTTTATAAGTTTTCTAATAACTGAAACATTTGGTTGTGTTTTGTAAAACTTAACAAAATGACGAGATATTACAATTAGGGTTAAGAATAGACCTAAGAAATTATGGCCAAAGATGGCAAAGACTCGCTTATCATTAAAGTGAATGATATCTCAAATGAGGATTCCATCAAAAAGTATGGCCAAGGAATGGATCAAATCAGTGGTGACATCAACTCCATTATATTGATGCGGCAAATGGTGGCCATAATTCATGAGAGTATTATAAGGTGCGAGCAATACAATCACAGTATGTATTCAATTGCTAATTAATTTGAATTTATGTTTTTAACATTTATATTAATAATTGACATAAAATTATGAATACAGAATTGGGACTACAGTTAATGGATCAGATGAATAAGATGCAAGAATATGCAACTAATGTCCGGGATAAATTGTTAGGTATTTAATTAGCATATTATAATTATAATTACATTTTAAGTAGCATTGTGTAATTATATAATTTAATATAATATGTTCATTAAATGTAATTAAGCTAGTTACTGTATATAACTTATTAATTGTATTGTTTAGAAATGGATAATAATTTGGAGGATTTGAAGGAGAAATCAAAGTGGAAGGGAAGGGCAGCCATACGAAGATTAAGAATTCACCGTGCTAAGTTATGTCACCGGTTTGTATGCTGCATGATTGACTACAACAACATCCAGGCCAAATATAAATCTAAATATATTCAATTGCTACGGACACAGTTCAATATCGCCAAACTACCGGTGATGAACTACCGGTGAATGATATGGAACTGGAGGTTATGATAAATATGGGTACTATGCGGGCGTTTATTGAGAAATACCTGATAGACTCCCAAAATGCCAACCAAATGCTACTGGAGATTGAGTCCCGGGGCGGGGATATAATTGCACTGAAAACAGATATGACTGAAATTCGCAATTTGTACCTGAGTGTGGACCTACCCTACCGGGTGCTCTCAATGCGCAAACGGAATGGAAAGGCATCTATCAAATCTATCAAAGAGATTTGTTTGGGCAGTATTTTGCTATTGTTTGCAATTATGGCCTTTTGTGCTATCATTATGATCATGATATGAACCAATTTTTAAAATTATAATTTTAAAAATAACCTATTTTGACAAACCTTAATTTTTTAATGAATTTTACTAATTTCAAATATAACTGAAATTTTAATAACTTAATTATATTTACTTAAAAAATGTTATTTTTCCAAATCACTGTACTGGTATTAGTACTGAAAATTTATGTAATGAGTATTTTGAAACTTATAAAATTTATAATATAAATATAATATAAATATAATATAAATATAATAAATTATAAATAGTACATTTCAAAGCACATGTATTTGATTTATAAATAATAAAATAATTATTTCAAAAATGAATGTTACTATCTTGTTTTAAATAAATATTATTTCTATTAAAGTCAGGGAACAATCGACACGTAATGAAATAAAAAATGTAATCTATTTATCAGATTAGTTCATATTGCAATATTAGATTAGTTTAAAAATAATATAAACAATTATATTCAATAATAATTGATTGTGCTTGTAATGAACAAGGCTTGTAATTCATAAGTTATGCATAGCAAACATAAATATTAATAAACAAAATATGCGAAAAATTTATGTGACTTAACGTCAATCTATTGACAATGAAATTAAAATACTTTTCATTAGCAAAATTAAGTATTTGTATCAATAATTTAAACTCACATCTCTCTTTCAATGGGTTATTACTGGAGATATCATCCACTGAAGTGACCTCTGTTTGTCTGCCATCGGCGGCTATTATAGCTATTAATTCCGGAAGTCTATCTTTAACCACCATTTTTGCAATATTTTATATCTCTCTCTCTCTCTCTCACTCACTCACTCACTCACTCACACACATTCACTCATATTACAGTATTAATGATATTAACAAAAGAATGTGATAATAGAAATGGAAATAATAATTTTTATAACTTTTACAATTGAGTTACAAAATTGGCTATAGTTTATAAAAGTCATTAAAAGTGATATAAAATATTGCAAAAATGGTGGTTAAGGATAGACTCCCGGAATTAATAGCTATAATAGCCGCCGATGGCAGACAAACAGAGGTCACTTCAGTGGATGATATCTCCAGGGATAACCCATTGAAAGAGTTTCAGCAGGAAGTGGATATAATTATTGGTGATATTGAGTCCATTGAATCAATGGTAAAAAAAGTGGCCACAATTCATGGAAAGATATTAAATTCACGACAAAACTGCGATGGTATGTCCAATGATATGAATTGGTATTTTCAAATATACTGTCATTTCTTATGAATTCAGATCTCAGACAAGATTTAGAGAATCTAATGGCAGACATTACAAGGACTGCGAGAAATGTCAATCAAAAGCTGAAAGGTATTTAGTTTTTGTATAAGTTTTAGAAAATATTCTGAATTATCAAGCGAAAATTAACTCAAATAAAAGATTAAATAGTAATTATTTGTAAATAAATTTATATTCCAGATAATGCGAGAAATACAGAGGTTTTAGAGGGGAAGTCATTGTCGTGGATGAGCGCAGACATACGAATACGAAAAACACAACATAACATGCTGTCCCGCATGTATGTCCAGTGTATGAGTGACTACAACACCATCCAGGACAGTTATAATATGAAATATAAAGGCCTAATAAAACAACAGTATGCTATAACTAATCGGTCGGTGACCGATACTGAGCTGGATGAAATGCTAGATAGTGGTAATTTACACGTTTTTGTCGAGGGATTCCTATCAGACAAACAACAGGCCAAACAAATGCTTCGGGATATTGAGGCCCGACATCGGGATATCATAAGACTCGAGAAGAGTATTAAAGAAATATACGATTTATTTAGTAGTGTTGAACTACTAGTAACTGACCAGGTACTTTCTGCTCTCTCCTAATTAACTGATTTAAAATATTTTTTATTTACAAATAAAAGGGCGAAATAATGGACAGAATCGAGGAACAGGTAATTAGATCCAAAGAATATGTAGAAAAGGCTAACTTGGAGATAGAGACCGCTCGCAAACATAAGGGAAATGCCTATAAATACCGAATTATATGTCTGGCCATCATTGTGGCTATTATTGTAATATTAATTGTTACATTTATAATAATAACTTAAATAAAAATTATAATTAAATATATATATACTTTGTATATATAATTTCAGCATTTATTACTAATAACTAATAATTCTAAGTGATAATTGCAGTAAATCTTAATTATAATTGTATTAATAAATCATATATTTTATTAATTACAAAACATTGTTAATTAAACTAAAATAACATAAAACAAACAGTGTTCAAAATAAAAATTTTATCTCCCTTAAAATATTATACAGTACAGTAATATCACTGGACATTTTTGTCTCACATATTCACAACTGATAAATGGTTGCAATTTAAATGTAAATTCATTTATGAATATGAGTTATGGTATTTAAGAAACAGAAATAATTGTATGAATAAAATAAATCACATGATATCAGCGATAAACTGAATGAATTTATAACTATTATATCAAAATAGCAAAAAAACAAATGTAATTTTCCTAATTGATTTTAATAAATAGTTTGTCTATAAATAATAGCTGAATAAAAAACGGGTAGTAAAACACAGTGTAATGAAAAAAATGCATAATATTTATAACAACTTGATTGACGACAATTGTCTCCCGAATAGTGTGTCTATTCATTGAGTAATTTTGTAAAATAGGTTCACAACTAATGCGATGACAGCTTATTGTCGAGAATATTCTTATGGTATTCATGAATATTCTGGTAATTCTTTGTATTCATGAGAGCAACACATTTGTCTCTTTTGTTTTATTTTTATCGCAATTTTTAAGAAATAAATTTTTCACAAATAAATTGCTTATAAGTTTTTTTGTGATCTAAATTCCTCGTGATATATTAGTATTGGTTAAGAATGGAGATAATTGATGATTATTTTGTTTTAAAATGTTTTCTAACATTAATCAACAGTCTAATAAATGTTTAATAGAAATATGTGTAAAGTGTCTAACGAATTCTTTTAATAAAGTTATTCAATGAAAATCTTTTATATTGAAAATACAATAATTAAATATTATTTGACATTATGAACAAACTGTAATTTAAATTTTTAGTTTATAATTACTTTTATGTATAAAGTAGACAAAAAAACAATTGGTTGCGAAACTAGTGATGTATATTTTAAAATCATAATTATACTAAAAAGTATACTGTACAAACTACTTTGTAGTAAAGTAGTATAAATATCTAAATTAAGCAATCAATTAAATTATTAAATAATCTATATGAAACAGATATTATAATTTTTTTGGGATATATCCTAATTGA